GTAGTGACCATTGGGGTCTCTTTATTTTTTTGAGTTTGAAGTCTGTTTTATCTGATATAAGTATAGCTGTTCCTGCTTTCTTTTTTGGCCCATTTGCTTGTAGGATTGTTTTCCATCCTTTGACTTTGAGCCTATTTTTATCTTTTGTAGCTAAATGTGTTTCCTGGAGACAGCAAAAGTTTGGGTTTTGTTTCTTAATCCAGGCTGCAACTCTGTGTCTTTTTATTGAAGAGTTTAGTCCATTTACATTTAGAGTTAATATTGCTATGTTAGCATCTGTATTTGCCATTATGTTTGTCTTTCCTTTGATTTTATTTATTCTTTTAATAACTTTTTTTTTTTTTTGGTCTTCTTTCGTTGTTATTCGTCCCTCTGAGGTTCTGGCTTTAGGATTCCTTGTAGTATTTTTTGGAGTGGGGGTTTATTCGTAATGAAATTCCGGAGTTTCTCTTTGTCTGGGAAGGTCCATATTCTTTCTTCATGGAGGAAAGAGAGCTTTGCGGGATAGAGTATTCTTGGTTGGCATCTGTTTTCTTGGAGTCTGTTGACTATGTCCTCCACTCTCTCCTTGCCCGTAGTGTTTCTTCAGAGAAGTCTGATGTCAGCCTGATTGGTTTTCCTTTGAATGTTATCTGTTTCTTCCCTCTTGTCAGCTTCATTATTTTTTCCTTGTCCTGGATTCTTGGGAGCTTTACTATTATGTGTCTTGCTGTGCTTTTCCTTTCGTCGTGGAAGTTTGGTGTTCTTCTTGCTTCTTGTATATCAATTTTCAGCTCCTTCTTCGCATTTGGGAAGTTCTCTTCAATTATCTCCTGGAATATTTTCTCTGTTCCTACATCTCTCTCCTCTCCTTCTGGGATTCCTATAACTCTTATATTTCCTTTCCTCATGGAGTCAGATAGTTCCCGAAGTCTTTCTTCATTCTTTTTCCTTCGTACTTCTCTTTCCTTTTCTGTTTTGGTTCTTTTTATTTCTGTGTCTTCAAGAGAACTTATTCGTTCTTCCATTTCATCTATTCTGCTTTCCTTGCTTTTCCCAGAGTTCTTTAGTTCCTCCATTAATTCTTTGATCTCCTGCATTTCTTTTACTTCCCTCTTTAGGGACTCAATTTCCTTCTTCTGATCTATCACTTTTTTAATCATGGCAATTTTAAATTCTCTTTCTGGAAGGCTCAGAAGTTCTTCCAAGTTGCTGTCGTTGCAATCTGGGGAGTGGTTTTCTTTTTGTGGTGTGCTTCTTTCCTGAGGAGTTGTTAGGTTGCATGTGGTTCTTCTACTCCCTACTGTCTGTTTTCTAATTTGTCGTATGCGTTGGGACACTGTGTTGCTCGGACTGACTGACATCTTGGGTGAACTTCTCCGCTCCCCTCTGGCTCTTCCAGGAGCCATCTCTGTCTTCTGGGGGAGCTTTCTGCTGGTTTTAGGCAGTTTTTACTGAAGAAATGTCCCTGTTCTCAAATGGCGAAGCGGGATGCAGTCCCTGTGCCTCCGGTTTCAGGCACACTCTTCTGCGCACCCGGTCTGCCCCGGACGTGGGTGGGCTCAGACTGCTGGTCGGAAGGGGCCTGGCGTGGAATAACTTCCTGGCTGGCCACTGGGTCCTACAGAAGCCTTCTGCCCTTTTCAAGCAGTCTTAAGAAATTTCCTGTTTTATGGGGTGTTAGTGACTTTTTTTTCCTGGTCGCTAGGTGGCGCCAGAGATCTCTCCTATTGTCCTTGGGGGGCTGTTTTTCGCCTCCCCCCACCCCGTGGGACAGGGAACAGAGCGGGAATGGTAGGGTACACCTCAACAGCTTTGGGGTGCTGTGTCTGCCTTGTGCCCCACCGTCGTGGAGAACCCATGCCCCGAATTTTCGTGCCCCGGGTCTCAGTTCAAAGCCCTCAGTTCCAGGACGTGGGCTGTAGCCCAGTTCAGTGGCGCGGGAATGGCGCCTTTTGCACTGCTCCCGTGCCTGGGCGCCTGGTTCCTGCTCACTCAGGGAGGGACCTTCACGTCAGTGAGGACCTCCGCGCGTCTCCCCGCAAGCCTAGATCGTCTCCCCGCAAGCCTAGGTCGCAAGCGCGGGGACCTGGGCAGCTGTGATCCCGGTCTGCACTTGCTTTTCAAGCGCGCCGAGCGCGCCGCGTTTCCGCGCAAGCTTACCGGCAGCCCGGGCTGTGTGCGCGTCTCCCGGAGTCTTTGTTCTTCTCTAATGGCGCCCGGAGCCGTTCCCTCACCCCACGGCGGATCCTGCAGGGTTTGCCTCAGCTCCGGTTCACGGGGTGTGGTGGCTGCAATAGTTCCTTTCCACGCACAGTCCCGCTTGCTGCGTCGTTTGTTCTTGTGGGTCGTTTTGGTTTGTTGTTTCCCTCCTCTCTGCCGGTCGGAGAGTCTCATGTGCATTTTGAAAAGAATAAATATTCTTCCATTTTGGGGGCTAATATCCTTTAGCTATCAATCAAATTCAAGTGGTAAACAGCATGGTTTATGTCTTCTGTATCCTTACTGATTTTGATCTACCTGTTCTACCTGGAAAGGAGAGTGTTGAAATCTCTATATGTAATTGTAGAATTACCTGTTCCTTTTTTCAGTTCTGTTTAATATTGTTTCATATATTTCAAGTGCTGTTCTTATTTATGAATATGGCTTCCTGATATATTGATCTTGTTATGATGAAATGTTTTTATTTTTTTGCAGTTCTCCTCTTCTTGAAGTGTATTATGTCTAAAATTAATCTTGCCTCTCCAACTTTTAAGCTTACTAGTGCATGATATATATTTCCCCCTACATTTTAATTTCAGCTTATCTGTATCTTTAGGTTTAAAATATATCTACTATAAACAGTATTTTATTTTTTTTTATTTTTTTAAATAAATTTTATTTTTATATTCCCCATACAATTGCAGCCCCCATATTTTGACCCCAATCCCTCCCCTCCTCACCCCCCATCCCCCATAGAGTGTCTCTGGTTCATAGTTTTTTGTTGATTTTGATTTTCACTTTCTTATAGTTTTTTATTTTCCTGGTCCCTTATTTAAGTTTTCTAGATTCCTGCTATGAGTGAGACCATCCGGTATTTTTCTTTTTCTTTCTGGCTTATTTCGCTGAGCATGATCCCTTCCAGCGCCATCCATGTTGCTGCAAATTGCATGTGTATAAACAGTATTTTAATAGTGTTGTTTTTGAACATTATACTTTGCTATCTGTTTTCTATTTATCCAGGGTTTTTTTTTTGTCCCTCTTTTCTTCCTTTCATGTTTTTCTGGGTTAATCACTTTTTTTTTAGTATTTCATTTAATTTTTGTTTGTTTTTATCTCTATCTTTTCTGCACTCATTTTTAATATTTGACTTGGCTTACAATATGAATCCTTAACTTAATCTAATCCACTTAGTGTTTAGGTGTACCATTTCACATAAAAAGTAGGAACCTTGTGGAATTTCATTTACCTCTTAGCTTTTGTATTATTATCATGTATACCACATCTACATATGTTTTAAGTCCTGTAATGCATTGTTACGGTAATTTTTGCTTTAAGCAATCCTGTCTTTTAAAGAAATTAAAAGGAGAAAAAAATACATTCTTTTTACAATTACCCTTACATTTACCAATTCTGATTTTTAATTTCTTCTTCTAAATCCAGGTTTCAGCTGATGTTATTTTATCCATCCTTTTTTTCTGGCTGCTTGTAAGACTTTCCCCTTTAATTTTTACCAGTTTTATTATGATGTTACACTATTAGTTATGATTTTCTTCTCTTTCAAGTTTGTGCTGCCTTTAGGGTCTATAAGTTACGCTTTTCACCAAATTTGGGGAAATTCTGACTATTTTTTCAAAAACTTCTGTTTACCCTTTCCTTTCTGTCCTCTCTTTTGGACCCTAATTATATGTATAAACCTCTGTCTGACATTGTTGCACACCCTGTTGAGGCCCTCCCTATTCATGTTTTTTTTTTTTTAAGATTTATTTATTTATGAATACAAGAGCTGGGGCACAGGCCAGAGATGCGGGGGAAGGGGGGGAGGGTGAGAGGATTCACCAGAGACAGACAGAGTGGGGAGCAGAACAGGCAGACTGACCGAAACACACTGCTGAGGGGAGCAGCGGGCGAGACAGGAGGGTTTCTCCCTGGCCGGCCTGGGATGGAACTTGTGCTGCAGAGGCTGTGGACTACTTCATAGTGCGGTGCCTAACGCCTTGCACCACCAGGGAGGCCCTATTCATGTTTTTCTCTCAATCTTTTTTTCTTCAGGTTGATTCATTTCTATTGCTCCGTCAATTGTGTTCACTGACTCTTCTGTTATTTCTAATCTACTGCTAGTCTACCCTGTGAATATTTATTTCACATTTGTGCCTTTAGATTTTAGGAGTTAATTTTTATAGTTGCTACATTTGTGTTTTCACTTCTTTGCATTCATAATAGCTATATTTTCCTATAAATGCTTGAATATATTTAAAATTTGCCACTTAAAAAGTTCTTGCCTGAAAACTCTAGCATTGGTACTTTGGATTGATTTCAATTGACTTCCTTTTTTTCTTTACTGGGGATCAAGTTTTCCTGTTTCTTCCCACATTTACTAATTTTTAGTTGTATATTAGACATAATGAAGGATACATAGTATTGTCTCTGGATTTTGTTATCTTCCTCTGGGGATTATTGACTTTTTATTTGTTTGTTTTAGCAGGCTGTTAAATTTGATTAGACTCAGACACCAAGTTCTGTCGTGTATAGTAAATGTAAATCTCTACTCAGGTCTTTCAGCTGTTGCTTTTTTACTGGGCCATTTGGAATCTCTTTCATGCATATACAGATCAAGAATTAGCCAAGCATTTTGGCAGTTTTTTGTGGTTCCCTCCCTTCTTGCTTGAATGTCTTACAGATGTTTGTTTTGCCAATAATGCTAAATTATTTTAAGGAATGAATATTTTGATTTATCATAATAATAATAGTCATAGCAGTTTGTTTATTATAAAGTCCTTACTAAAATCTTGTTAATACTTTGTCTGATTTTTCTTTTTCAGGAACTTAAGAGATTTAAGAACTTTGTGAAATACTGTTCTCCTTTTGATATTGTCATTGATGGCCTCAATGTTGCCAAAATGTTTCCTAAAGTTCGTGAATCTCAAGTTGTAAGTACCAATTTAATTTTGTTATTCTAAATCTCTAGAAATAGTTTTTGTTTCCATTTGTGATCTTCTGTGCCTCTCTTAACTCCTCCTTTTTCTTTTCTCTAAAAATAAGCACCTAAAGCTGCCACAGTGCTATCTACTCCTCTATGATTCACAGTTTTCATCTCTTGCAAGCAAGTGGCGATTAGAGACTATGCCCACGTGAGAGATTAAAAAGTCTGTGTAATAAAGGGCCATTTTAACCCTTTTTATATAGCCTTTAGCTAACCTTCTCCTAGGACCCTACTCACTCTATGGGGTTATTTTATCATTTCCCTGGAGGTCACATCCCTCTATTTGTACATTATCAAGATACGCTATCAAAAGTTATTAACCCCTCACTACTCATATTTGTCTTTTCCAAACATAGTATGTTCATAAATTAACCTCAACAGGTTTTTTTTGGTGAGGTAATAATTTGTTTTATCAATTTATAAATAATTTGTTTCATTAATTCTAATAGGAATGACATGATTTTTTTACAGACATGATGAACAATTATTTTAACCCCCATTTTATAGAATTGAGAATTAGAAAATTGAGGCTCATTTTGTATAGTAAATCCTTAGAAAATGATCATAACATCAAAATTAGGTTGTCGAGAGCTCCGGAGTTTCAGCCTGTGCCTTTTGTCACTGGCAATCTATTGTCATTCTCATCCATATTTGAACTCTATTATTTCTTTGAAATTGCCACCAATTTAAAAGCTTTTTCTCAGAGATGCTATTAGTCCAATTCAGCCATTTATACTTAGAAAGGCTTGAAAGTACTAACAGTGAACAAGTTTGATTTACAGACATTTCTTCATATGCCTTTTCTTTATGCTTATGCCTACATTTTTATGATCAAGTATGTACTTTTTATTTTTTATTTTTTTAGATTTATTTTTATTTATTTATACAAGCACTGGGCACAATCAGAAGTGCGGGAGGGTGAGAGAATTCACCAGAGCCAGAGCGGGGAGCAGAGCAGGCAGACTGAAGTACACTGCTGAGGGGAGCAGCAGGCGGCAGGAGAGGTCTGCGCGCCATGTGGGACCCTCCTCCGGTGGCCGGGGAGCAGCCGGGCATTGAACCGGCACTGCAGAGGCTGCGGGCAGCCTCACAACCCAGCGCTCAACCACTGCGCCACCGGGGAGGCCCAAGTATGTACTTTTTAATCCTTTATTAAAAAACAGCACAAAAGCAAGTAGAAATATTTAAGTCTCTTTGGTACTTAAATGGCAGTTGAGGCAGTAATATTGATAAAGATATTGACAAAGCCAGAAAAGAAAGCATGAAATTATTTATCATTAATGCTTGGTAAAGCTCAGAATCAGAAGCACTCATTCTAAATCATTCCTCTTCTAATCTGTGAGAAATAATAGTTTTGTATTTATTCACCTTTTGTTTGATTTCCAGTCTCATACAAAGGACTAAAAATTGAGTTGTTAGAAATAAGCATCCTAAATTGAGCTTACTTTTTTGGGGAAAGTAACATACAAAGATAGTATAGTAGACATGTCCTCTTATGATATGGGAGGGAAATTTGAAAAATTCCCCTAGATTTGGCAAACAGCAGCAAAAAACAAAAGATGGACCTGGGAAATTATAGATATTGCCACTACTTTTAACTTTTACTCTTAAAAGAATTTAATGTTAGCAACAATCTATGTTAGAGAGACCTCAGAGAGCTGGGTGCTGGCAGAGAGCCATAGTGTACTGGTATTTATATTTAGGAAACCTGGAAACTTCATTTCAAAGATTCAGCTTAGAGATGCCACCTAAAAGTTTTTTCTCAAATCTCTGAAGCTGCAGATTTGTAAAAAATAAAGGAATACCACATATCCCACAGATCTTTTTTTTTTTTTTTTTTATTTCTTGTGTAACTCTACTCTCATGCTCTTGTGTAGCCCAGTTTTCATTTTTTAATACTTACTAGGTTGTTGGAATAGCATACCATTTTTTTCCTGTTCAGTGAATGAGAACGCAATAATTAAATGTGAAATACAGGGAAAATCTCAGTATTCTTTGATATTTCTTGGTTTCATACTCTTGGTCCTAAAAATGATATAAAAGTAAATATGAAGAGCATATATTTTAAGGAGAGTGGCATATCACCTGTCACTGTGAAGATATAGAGACCTACTATGGTCAAAAGTGATCCAGAAGATCATTTAACTTAGATATAAAAGCCTATATTTAAATATTACTTAAAATTCTGTAAAAAATAATATGGTATGGAGCTGTTTAGATTAATATATGATTTTGTTGGTTTATGATAAAGAATACTTTTTCCTTAAAGTTATTACTAAATCAGGGCTCATCTTACAGTTTCTGGTGTCTTGATTGTGAGGTCATACAATTATAGGACATGCTAAATGGAGAGACTAAAGTTCCTGACTAGTTTTCACTTTTGGCATAATTTAGGATCTTGATCAAATTATGTCTCAATTCTTTAGTATCTGCATTTGTTTTATTTTATTGAGATATAATTCAAGTACTGTAATATTCACTCTTCTTAAATATGCAGTTATGTGGTTTTTACTATATTCACAGAGTTTTGCAATCATTACCACTATTCCAGATCATTTTCACTCCCTCCAAAGTAACCTTGTATCCATTAGTAGTCATTCTCAATTCATTCCTTCCCTTAGACCCTGGCAATCACTAATACTATGTTCTGTCTTTATGCACTTGCCTATTCTGGACATTTCATATTTTCTCATAGCATAATGTTTAAAGAGCTCATCCATTTTGTAGCATAAATAAATCATTACTTTTCAATGCCAAATAGTGTTTCATTTCATATATATAACATTTACCCATTCATTAGTTTCTGGACATTTCCACTTTTTTTGGCTGTTATAAACAAAGCTGTGTGAACATTTCAGGTGCATGTTTTTGTGTGTATATATATATTTTTCAGTTTTCTAGGGTATACAAATAGGAATGGAATCGCCAGGTCATACAGTAACTTTTGTTTAACCTTTTGAGGAACTGCCAAACTTCCAAAGTAACTACCATTTTACATTTCCATCCAGCAGTACAAAGTTTGATTTTCTACACATACTCACCAATGCTTGTTATTATCAGTCTTTTTGATTATAACCATCATAGTGTGCATGAAGTGGTATCTCATTGAGGTATTGACTAACATTTCCTAATTATGCATGATATCGAACATCTTTGCATGTGTTTGTTAGACATTTGTATATCTTCGTTGGAAAAATGTCTTTTTAAATCCTTTGTCCATTTTAATAAGATTTTCTTCTATAGTTGAGCTATACTTTTTCATATATATATTCTGAATATTAGACTTTATATGATTTGTGAATATTTTCTCCCATTTGGATTCTCTTTTCAGTTCCTTGATGGTTTCCTTTGAGACACAAAAGTTTTGAATTTTGATGAAGCCCAATTTTCTTTTTTTGTCTGTAGTGTTGGCATCATATCTAAAAAAAAAATTCATTGCATTTCCAAGGTCATAAAGATTTATGCCTGTTTCTTTTGAGAATTTTATAATTTTAGTTCTTACATTTATAGTATCTGCATTTTTACAGAAACAGTCTTATGTACATGATAAGTGAACATAATTTGGAATGTACTGAAATTCAGAAAGGACTAGTCTGAGCCCTCTCTAGTTAACTTGGTTAACCTTCTATAAATCTGGGCAAGATAAGACTTGCTATTCACCTTGTAGATGTTTATTCATTATAACACATATCCTGCTTTAAAAATATTTATTTGGTTTCAAATTTCCAAAAGAAAAAATGCTCTGGTTTGCATTATTTTAAGAATGAAGGGTTCTTCTGAGTGGCTGAAGGATGAATTATATAGCTCAATTTTGAGAAGGACAGTTAACATCTTAAGATGTAGATTCAGTTACTGTTTATTGAGCACCTATTCCATGACTTACATGTTTTTTTAATTGGTGGTTTGTATCTTTTGACCCCCTTCACCCATCTGACCCCACCCTACCATGGATTTCTTGTTATGAAGGAGCAATCTCCCACCAATATGTTACTTTGACCCTTACAAACACCTCTGAAGTTTCATTTATATGTGGAATATAAAAAAAACTAAAGGGTCAAAGACAAACCTTCAAAGTTGACTACTTGGATATGAGGCATCCAAGCAAGGAGAGGTAAAAATGGGGAGGGGAGATGCACAAAGGAATTTGGTGAGGGACTGTGGGTGCTTTGGGGGTGGAAGAACTATGGTGACCACACCTGAGGGGAGAAACCATACATTTTCCAAAAATTAACAACAATGTAAAAAAAAGTACTATATTTAATTTTTAAAAATCTGAAGAAAAGGATAGTTAAGGAGAGCTCAAAATTAGATCATATTCTTTAAAGTAACATGAGTGGGTGATTGGCACTGACACCCATCAGATTGCTCAAGCCAAAATCAAGGGTTCCACCTTTAATTGCTTTTTCTTACTATCCTGTAAGGGCAGGAATGGACACAGTGCAGGTTTTCTGATCCAGCAGACCTGGTTAAGAAGTCCTGGAGCCCTCAGTGGCTTTATTCAGGTCTTTTATTGCCTGGTACACAGCAGGCAAGGGTGCTGGGGGGCCGGGAGGCTGGCAGTTCTCCCAGCCCCCAGCAAATCTTCACTCTATCTGGGCTCTCTCTGCTTCTCTTCTTCTCTTGGCTTCTGCTGCTTCTTTCTCAGCTTCTCTTCAGCTTCTCTTTCAGCTGCTGCTGGCGTCCCCGTGATGCTGCCCTTAAAAGCCCAGTCTCAGCCCAGGTGAATCCCATGTACCTATGCCCACACCCTATTCCAGGTGCCCACCATCAGGCATGCATTAAGGACCGCAGGGTTCCGTCATCTCTCCTGATGGTGGGAGGGCAGAAAAGCCTGACATTTTTCCTTACCCTACATATCCCCACTTACAATTGACAAGTTTTATTGGTCATGACCCCCCAAACATATTCTATAGTCTAGTAACAATTACTTTTTTCTTTCTCCATTAA